TGTGCAAACTGGGGCACCAGCAGCAACTGGGGCAGTCGCCGCTCGAGCTGGAACAGCCTGGGCCGGGCCCCCAGCCTGAAAAAGAACAGCCAGTGCGGCGAGAGGGAGTCCTTGCTCTCGGGGGAGGGCAAAGGCAGCACAGACGATGAAGCGGAGGAAGCCAAGCTCAGCACCCTCAGCCGGCCCCCCCTGCACCCCCGGGCGGAGTCCCTGGACTGCCGGGGGGGCTTGGATCTGCCGGAACTCCTCCAGGTGCCCGGGGTGCACCCTCCCGCTGCCATGCTGCCCATAGAGTACCAGGACTGCAACGGCAAGATGCTCCAGGTGCCCAGCGAGCTCCGCCTGCACGTGGATGGCCGCAAAGAGGATCCGTTCGACTACGATGACAACCTGGAAGACGTAAGTCCGAACCAGCGTTCTTCCGCTCCTCCTCCACGTTGGGCTAGAGGCCAGCTCTTCGGTGAGGCAAGGGGCCTCTCAGCCACTCCCCCCACCGCATCTTGAGAGGCGGCTGGAATTCAGTGGCCAAAGGCTGCCTTTTGCGATTTTTGCCCTCTTCGCGGTGGGAAGGGAAGACCCCCAAGGGGCTGAAAGGAAGCCCCCTCCTGTGACATCGCCTACAACCCTCCAGCTGATGAGGGAGAGCGCTGCCAATCCCAAACCTGGGGAAATTGCAACCCCACCTCCCCCCTCACCCCCCACGACCATGGGTGGAAGTTGCTAGTGCATGCCAGGTTTTAAGGGGAGTGTTGGGGAAGGGGAGAGGGACACCTGTTGGGATTAGATTTTCCAAGAGTGGTTCCTTTTTTCTTTTCCTCCACCCAGAGTTTCTGCTACAGAATCCGTAAGGCCTTGGAGCCCTACAAGCCAAAATGGTGCAAGAACCACGAGGACTGGTCACTCTATTTGTTTTCCCCTCAGAATCGGTAAGTGCTCCCACATACAGGCAGGACAACTGACCCCTTTTATTACTCTCCGTATTTCCACTTTCCACAGCAGCCTCCTGTTCATCTCAGACTTGGAGAGATCTCATCCATTTGGGGCTGAGCTGCTGAGATCTGCAGGAAAGACCTTTTGGCAAAAACCAGTTTGCCCTGGGAAGGGAAAGAAGACATGTTTGGAAGAGCTCTGAGGCTTGTTCAGACTAAAGTCCCTCCCAGTCCCTCATTCTGGCCTAGAGCGGTCAACCAGGATATTCTGGAAGTCTTGAGCAGGACCTGGTGGAAGGGCATTAAGCGAGAAGCCAAGACTTGCAAGAGTCCCTCAGAACATAAGGTCCAATCCCAGATCAGGGCAGGAAAGGAATCCAGATTAAAACCTACCTCCCTGAGGGCTCCCCTTGAACCTATGTAGCCAAGGAGAGCCCACCACTTCTCCGCATGGCCCTTTCCAATGTCAATGTCCAACAAAGTCAATGTTAACATTTATTTGGAATATGCCTTCCTATAATTTAAGGTTATTTTTTTCCCATTCTGAGCTTTGGGGCTGAAGAGAGCAAGTCTTGACTTCCTTCTTTGGGACATCCTTTCTGGTATCTTAGAAGGTTTTCACACACACCCATCTTGGTCTTCTCAAGACTAATGTACAGAGTGCGGAAGATGACCTTGATGGACTTGTGCAGGAGCCGTTGCCTACGCAAAAGGAGGGGAAGCATTTTTTAAGTCCAGAACATCCAGATAACATCTGGAAGCAGCTCAGACCAATGCCTCCCTAATTCACTGAACTATCCAGAGGAAGAGGAAAAATAGCACAATCAAACTTGCAGGATTGATGTCAGCCCCACTAGATAGATCTAACCAGGAAGTCAACTCCATGGGAAGCTAAGACTACTTTATTGAGATTGGTTATAATCACAGACTCTTGCAAGTCGGATTGTGCTGCATGTCCTCCTCCTTCTACTCCCATGAATCATGGAGGCATCTCCCTGAGTCACTTCCAACTGTCATCTCTCTGTGGACTTAAAAAATGCTTCAGTCCTCTTTGCCAAAGCAACAGATCCTGCATGTCTCCACCAACGCCATCTTTCTGACTCTCTACAGCCAGCATGCCAAATGCTCTCCATCTCTCTTGGCAGTATTTTGCCAGGCTGGCTTACAATGGTCCCTTTCTATGGTGACCCCTGTCTGACCACTAGCAAAGAGGGGGACCTTGCCAAAAAAGGGAGAAGAGAGAGAGACTGGGAGGCAGAACTTTGGGGGGGGGTCTTCGAATGGCCAGCTAAAGGACTCCGGAGAATTGCACTCACGCTTCTGGGAGTCCTTGCCAATTGTAGGTGCTCTGCCTCTGCGCCCCTAGGATTAAATGTGCCCGGGCTCATTTCATTGTGGGCAGACAGACAGACAGAAACTTTATTTCAGTCCTTGACCAACAAAAATACATTCTATAAAACAAAGAAAGCAAAATTACCCCCTAGCATCCCCAGCTATTGGCAACCATTTGGGGTGCGTTTCATCGTATGCATGAGAAACGCAAGAGGACGAACAGGCCGCCCGCACAGCCGGCAGCTCCGCTAATCAAAGAGGCAGGTGCGGCCATTTTTCTATTGACCTCAAAAGCAGAGGGATGTTTCTGGTCATGTTGGACAACTGACCAGCCCGTCTGCTTTGTTTTCCAGGCTCCGGGCGAACTGCCAGAAAGTCATAGCACACAAGATGTTTGATCACGTGGTCCTCGTTTTCATCTTCCTCAACTGCATCACCATTGCCTTGGAGAGGCCAGATATCGATCCTAACAGCACGGTGAGCTTCCTGCCCTTCCTGGGGGAGGTGGAGCAGAAGGCCTGACCCCGCCCCCCGGGGAAGGCCGGTGGTCTTCAGGTTTGCTCAGCACGATGGGTCCCGTCCTGTTCAGCCAGAAGGGCAAAGTTAAATGCCAGGACGATTTTCTGGCAGGAGGCAGATTTCTCCAACAGAAGTTCTCTCCTTGCAAGGAAGGAGCTGCATTTTTGCCCATTAAAGAATAAAGAATCAAAAATGTGCCTTGTGCTGAGTTATTGGGTAATTTGGCAAGTCTACTGAAACTGAATAGATGAGTTATTTGCTATAAATCTAGGTGCTGCCCCAAAACACAGGCTCACTGCTGGCTTCCCTCTTCCACTTCCCAAAATTACTTGGCTGGATGCTCCTGCAATTAAAAATATAAACTCCCAAACCACCAAAAAACTATTAAGCATACTTCAGCATGCATGACTTGAACTCCAAACAGTATTTTTCATAACCACCCTGCAAGGTAAATAAGGTAGAAACGTGATTTACCAGCATCATTCGGGGAGCTCTGTAGCTCCAGCACAGAAGGCGGGTTTGAATTCCGAAACCTACGAGAGGGTTCGAGAACATCTCCTGGGATTAGTTTGGATTTCAGCTGTGGGTTTCTCTCTCTCTCTCTCTCTCTCTCTTACAGGAACGGATATTCTTGAGCGTCTCCAACTACATATTTACGGGCATTTTCGTTGCTGAGATGATGGTTAAGGTAATCGTGGCGGCATTTTCATTTTGCTGCACTTGGATTAATGTATGGCAAGAGTCAATCTATCCATTATACTGAGTGGGATGATAAAGTCACGGTGGGAGAAGTATCCGTTTTGTTACCTTAATGCATGAGGAGGGGGATACTCTTGAGGGAGGCCCAATGATAGAAGTAATTGCACTAAAGAACTTCTCCACTGCTGCAACCAACTGGCCTGTGTCCATTTTTCTCGCCTCTAGAATAAAACTTAACACGAGCCAACTTTCTGCAGCAGTGCGAGGTTGTGGTTGGCATTTACTTTTTGCAAAGCTTCCTCCCTCCCAACACAGTTCAGTTCCATACTATGCCTCATTTCTAATGCAGCGAAACGAACCCTGGGCCTCGACGTAGCAAGAGTTTGTGTGCCTGCTTTGGAACAGCCTATTCCACTCTCCTTCTAGGTTGTGGCTCTCGGCTTCTTCTCTGGGGAACACACCTACCTCCAGAGCAGCTGGAACGTCCTGGATGGAATCCTGGTCTTTGTGTCCATCATCGACATCATTGTCTCCATGGCATCGGCAGGCGGAGCGAAGATTTTAGGGGTCCTGCGAGTGCTTCGGCTGCTGCGCACGCTAAGACCTTTACGGTATTTTCTGACTTCTATAAAACCAGGAGGCATCTGAGCTAACTACTGTCTCCTGAGGAGTAGGAGGGGAAACCCCGTCTCCCAGAACTGAACAAACAGATAAGGAGACCGTTTGGATCCAAAAACCAGCTCTTGCTAAGAAACAGACTCAAATCATTTCTCCACCTTTTTCAGTGAACTCTTGGCAACTTCTTTGGTCTGAGAGACTTGGGGGACTCTCAAGATTTGTTTAGAACCTGGGGAGCTCAGGCTTGCCATTTGCAACTGGCAGACTTCTCTTAAAATCGATGCTTTATGTCCCCACCCATTACTCACCCCCAGAACAAGACTAAGCTGGTGTATCTCTGGTCATTTCCAAATTGCATCGAAAGCGTGGCATAGCGCTTTAATTAACTCTAGGGGTCGTGCATATTAGTCGGTGCTTTGATCAGCCGCCAGACTGGTTCTGTCCACCTTGCTTTGCTGGCTGAACTAAGCTTGCTTATCCTGCTGCGTATCCGCTAAAGAACAAAAGCAAGGTGACCGTAAAGGTAAAAACGCGGTGTTCGTTTTTAAGCAGCCTCTGGCTTGTGGCCCTGTGCTGCATAGATCAGCAATGTGTGTCTTTCCCGCTTAGCACCTATACGCATGTGCCTGTCTGGAAGGCTGAAGCCGCTCTCTGTTCTCCAGCAGGTAGAAAGGTTCACTGGTCTGCAGGAGGCAGCATTCTCCTACCCAGAGCCAGATAAATACTCTTTTCCTTTCAGCATTTTCAGACCATTTCGGTCTGGGGCCCAACAGCTGAAGACGTTAAATTGCAAACCTCATCGCAGTTCCAGGAACACTAGACCCGGCCCCGAGGGCGGGTGTCAGGCAGGATGGCAGAGAGGGAGACAGCAGACACGTTGCCCTGGAGTAAATCTGCATTCAAACGGTGATGAGTAATAATTCGAGAACATCTGCAGATGTTTTGCGTTCAGAACCACTGAGGAGCAGTTTAGTTCATCGGAAAGTCAAAAGTAGGACGGCACTTTCAGTATTTGAAACCAGGCAAAAGGGAGCCTGTCTTTTGTTTGCCGTCAAGTAATAAGCGACGTGTCTGGAGAAGAAGCGATGGGCGGGGGGAGAAGAAGGGAAATGTACTGGAGGAATTCTTCTCTGCTCTCTGCGTGAGTCTGCTGCTTCGCATCATGACCAGAAAAAAGCAAAACCAGACCCAAAAAACAACCCCATGGGGTTCTTTTATTTCTTTGGTGGAAATAAACTAAGAAACCTCCGTGGGGCAACAGTTGTCCATCTGTTTCTTGCTGGGGCGAAGTCTGTGCTAGGACGTTCTTAGGGACAGATGGCTCTCGGGACTTGTTTGGTATTGGAAGAGATTAGATTTCAGAAGGCCAGTCAGGTTACGTCTTGGCAAAGTGGGGGGGGGGGAGCCTCCAATGGCATCTGAAAGCATGGCTTAGGCGAGCTTCAGGTTTGGGGAAGGAAATGTTCTGTCTGTGTCAAACGAAGCAGGAACTCCTGGGGTGCCCCTTGATGAGTTTCTCTGGACATGAGTTGAGAGCTTTCTCTCTCCACAGCAAGTGATGGAGTTAAGGTCCATTTACCTTCTCCAAACCAGCAGCGTCCTCGAGGATCCAAACTGGACTTCCTCCCTTTGTTTTCTGCTTCCTTTTAGACTTGCTTTGCAACACGCAGCATGCAATCAAAAATGAGGGGGAAAAGAGAACCAGAATACTAAAAGTTATGAAATACTGTTTCAAAGGTCTCCATTTCCTCCAAACGGGCAGTTTCCCCTGGGGGACTGAATATTTGTTTGGCGTCTGGAAATGGAACGAAAAAGAGATGTTCCTCTTCCTTCAGGGTCATCAGCAGAGCTCCAGGACTGAAACTCGTGGTTGAGACGCTGATATCTTCTCTCCGGCCTATTGGCAACATTGTCCTGATCTGCTGCGCTTTCTTTATCATCTTTGGCATTTTGGGAGTACAGGTACTATTTTCCCACCACACTTCCCTTTGCTGAGCAAGGCCCACCAAAAGTTTTCTTGCTGTCCTTCTCCTTTGGCTTCTCCAGGCTTTGGGGGTGTTCATTCTGCCTTGGCCTGAACTGCCACATTACCAGACAAAACCATGGTGGGCAGGATCCTCAGGAACGCCTTCCAACATCACCCTTGCAGGGGCCAGAGCAGGTTTCCTATCCCTCCAAACTAGAAGATAGCAGCAGCTGGCCAGTGGAGAAACTGCTGTCCCACGGCCCTCTGTTGTGCTTTAAAAACTCAAGACAATTCATACTGGATTTTTTAAGAGTAGCTTCAAAAGCACCCTGTAAGGCAGATTGGATGGGAAAATAATGACCTGCCAGATTGTTTGGTGAGCAACATGGCTTTAGGATGGTAGGAGATTGATTGCAGTAACCAGCAGAGAGATGAATGGGATGAGACCGAGACCTCAGATGGCTCTCCCTGTGGTCTGCTGGGGCTGAGGCACAAGTGCCTTCCTTCTTAAACCTTTACAGTGCGATCCTTCACATTTTGGCTTAGAAAGAAGTCTTCCTGTTTCTCCTGGATCATAAAAAAACCTTGGAAGGAGAGTCCTGAGCAGGGCAGGGACTCCCTGAGCCCTGTCTTCTGCATTAACAGTGCCCTGGACATTCTCAGGCTTGGTTGTGAGGACCATCCTGCCTTCTTGCCTGGATGATTCCTCAGCAGCCATCGCTCAGTCCAGTTGGCACTCTGGCGAGGCCAAGTTCATCTCCCAGCAGGCGCAAGAAAGCTGTTTCCACAGCCAGAGCCATTGTCCCCACTTCTAACAGAGGGGCACCCAGATCTCTTCTGTGGTCAAGACGCTCTTCCCAGTCCCGCCCGTTGTTCTCCTGAAGGTCTTCCCAAAATCTACATTGCCTTCAAAGCCAAATTAAAGCTGAAAGTCAAATCCTCCACCTCTTTTGTTGATTTTATTTTGTTTGCTCCCAGCTCTTTAAAGGCAAGTTCTACTACTGCGAGGGACCTGACATCCGAAACATCTCCACTAAAGTCGATTGCAGAAAAGCCCACTACAAATGGGTCCGGCGGAAGTATAACTTCGACAATTTGGGGCAGGTAAGGTGGACACGAGAAGGAGGACTGGAGGAAACCACTCACTAGCCAGGCAGCCTTCCATGTCTTGTAAATTTAATTGAATTTTTAATTGAATTTTACACTTTAGAGGACTCCCAACTCCAAGAGACCCTGGGTGGCTTACAACTTTGAAAGTGAGAAACAATAATAAAAGAACATAAATCATAGATGTCCAGAAGAAACAGTCCATATCAAATTAAAAAATCCTACAAGGGCACCACACCCACCTCTCCCAAGGCCTGAGAGAATAGCCAGGTTTGCTATGACTTTCTGGACATCATTAAGGTGGACCCATATGGATCTCTAGCGGGATGTTCTTCCAGAGGGCAGGCGCCAGGACAGGGAAGGCCCACTTCCTTCTGCAGAGTTGAAAAAAGAAACATTTTCTTTGTCTAGAGCAGCAGTTCGCAAATGTTTTGGTCTCACGAGCCCTTTACATTCTTAAAAATGATTGAAGACTCCAAAGAGCTTTGTTTTCTGTGGGCTATATCCATCAATATTTACAGTATTAGAAATTCAAACTGATAAAATTTTAGAATATTTATTTGACTTCACACACACCCCGAAAGGGTCTCGTGGACCCCCAGCAGTCCCAGACCACACATTAAGAACCTCTGGCCATACATGGAAACATTCAAGTATGCATTTTCAGTACAAGAAAGTGAACGTGAGAAACCTCTGGTACCCTAATGACATTTCATGTGCCTCATCCTGAATGATTCTTCGTGAAGTCTGGTTTCCCATCTAAATGGTAGCCCAGGCCTCCATGATTTGATCTTCCAGTATGCTTTCCATTCTGCCTCCTCCTTCGTTCCCATCTGAGGCTTGGACCCCACACGTGTTTTGCTGCTCCTTAAGCCCACTTCCCTGTCTCTGTTTGCCACGTCCTTCTTGGGTCGTCTGGGACTGGAAAAGCCAACGTGGTCTTGCATGCTGATCAGGGAGCAGAAGGACTGGAAGCCCCACTTGGGGCACTAGCGTCAGGCAGGAAAACTGAGAGCAGAAGTCACCTGCTCGGAGCAGCTCTGCGGGATAAGGGATGCGTGGGAAAGGCAGTGGCAGGCCCAAATGGCAGCTTAGCTTTAAGCGAAGGGTTCCGTGGGAGCAGGCCCAGCCTCTCCTTGCCAGAAAACATCCAGGAGTGCAAAATGGGATTGGGAGGCAATGGGGGGAATGCTGGGGGAGGCGGAGTGGGGGGGGGGGCTGAAGGCAAGCCTTCGATCTTCTGCCAAGGTTTGTTAGAAACCAGGCCCTTAAGGGGTGTCTGTAGCTCAGCAGAGGACCTTCCTTGCACACAGAGGATAAGGTTTAGTTTCAGACATCTGCAGTTCCAGAAAATATGGTGATCGTTAATGGGAGAAAGATCTCTTCGCCTTTAAGACTCTGGGGCTTCTGCTGGTAAGAATCAATGCAGCTGAAGGAGAATTATAAAGACGGAAAGGCCATTTCTCTTCCTGGGGGAAAGTATCATGTATAACCTGGTGATGTGGATCTGCGTTAGCCATTTGCTGAAAGGTGAGCGGAAACTGGAAGTTCCAGTTTTATGCGCAGAGGAACTGCATTCTTTGCTTCCACAGGCCCTGATGTCCTTGTTCGTCCTCTCCTCCAAAGACGGCTGGGTGAACATCATGTATGATGGATTGGATGCAGTGGGAATTGACCAGCAGGTAGACACTGAAGATCCTAAGAATGTTAATGGGGAGTTAGTTAAAGACTCATTCCTACATGTATGTGCAACTCGGTGATTGGCAATTAAAGATAGATCAACGTCCTGGCTATGATGCTGGTCATTCATTCACAAGGGTAGACAACCATTTGGTAATGCAGGCCATAAATGATCTACATGGAAGACTGATGATGATGATGATCCATCACTGCTCAATTAGGGATGATGCCAGGCAAACACTGTTAGATTTCTGGCATGCCCAGTATGTCGTATGATGAGTCAACGGTCAAGGAAAAGCTCAAAATAAAATCTTGAAGGAAGTGGTTTTCCTTGCCTGTGGCTTCTGTGAAGGTGTTCACTGTGGATGCCCTGAAGACACCTCCTGAACAGAGGGCGCTGCCCCAGGTGGGCTCCCCTTCGTTTGGGCTGATTCTCCAGCTCCCATAATTACAGTGATGCCTGCTCCCACCCACTTACACCCTGACCCAGGAATGGTTATCTAGCCACTCCAGAGAACAAATTAAAGGCAGGTCCCAGAGTCTTCAAGTCAACATCCTATAGTACAACTAACTTTAAAAACAAAGCAAAGCTAGTGAAGAATTATATAACATCTATACTGTCTTTGGAAAGTTTCCTCCCTCTCCGTATGAAATCTTCTCTTTGATTTTTTTTTTTTAAATCCTGGACTCCCTATCATTACCTTATTGGGGTGCAGAACATGCAAGTAAAATCAGAAATAAATCAAACAGTAGCTATTCCAAAACTGGGCTGCAATTATTTAAGGCAGCTGGGCTAGCTAGTTTATCATGGCATGGGGGCATCATGGAATCCTTGGCAGTATTTCATCGGGGAGGTTGCACTGACCAGTAACATGGTCAATATGCCAACTTTTTCAGGGAGCTCCAGATGTTTTAGAGTTCAACGGCCAGGCCCAACCATTTGGAGGATGAACTGTTGCCTCTCCTGGAGCTTGGCACCATGCATCTTGTGGGTGGGCTCCATCTCCATTGTGCTCATACGCCATTGTTCCTTGTCTCCCCACCCCCATCTCTTCCCCTCTTCCTGCTGCCTTTCGGCCGCCCTCGCCAGCCCAGCCGGAACCATAACCTCTGGATGCTTCTCTACTTCATTTCCTTCCTCCTCATCGTCAGCTTCTTTGTGCTCAACATGTTCGTCGGGGTGGTGGTGGAGAACTTCCACAAGTGTCGGCAGCACCAGGAGGCCGAGGAGGCCCGGCGGCGCGAGGAGAAGCGGCTGCGACGCCTGGAGAAAAAGCGCAGGAGTAAGGCGATATACATGTCTGGTCGGTAGACAGTAGTACAATCACAATCTTTCTGAGACTTGCCTGCTCCCAAAGCCCGTATCGATCTTCCTCCTTATTGTCTGGTTTCCTTTGGTTGGACGATGGGACCAAAAAAGACCTTTTTCCTTCCCATCTTTTGGAGATGCTTTAAGAGCCAGAGGGTATTTCATCATGTCTTCTTTTATGCACAAGGCTCAGCTCCATCATGGTTTTCTTTTGACATCCCAGCTCAATTCTCCAGCATAGATAAGAATAATTATCCCGGTTCCCCTAAGCAGGTATTGGGTGCAGTCTCTTCCTAAGTCAAGTATGAACCCCACAGACTTGAACTCTGACGTGTCTGTGAAGATAAAGCACTGAGTACGTGTTTTAATGGTGAGCTTGAGGGTTGGATCCCAAGGGATGCTGACATTTTTGAGACGACCCCCTCCTGCCCCTTCTTTTACCATCTCCAATGGAGGGGTGGGGGAGACTTGGGGCCCCATTCATGGTCTGAAGCTTGTGAGTGAAACAGAATCCAACAACCATCCAACAGCTGCAGGGAGTTCCTTGGAAGAAGAACAAAAATAGAAATACCTGTTCTAAGTTAATATACATTTGGAAAGAGTTACAAGTGGGAGTCCATGCAGAAAGTTGTGCCTCAACCCTTGGAAATTAGAACATTGCTTAAGTTGGAAGGTTTGGACAGGCATCGTCACTTAGCTGGACAGACCAATGTTTGATGTGAAATAAGTTTTAAGGAAGGAAGGATATCTAAGTCACCTGTGCTCCATATGACCCAATTTTGTCAAACAAAAGCTCTAATTGTGGTGATTGTAAAAATGCTGAGCAGAAGGCTCCCTTTTTCCTCAGCCAGCTTTAGGGGGGTCCTAGGAAATCTTGTTTTCCCAGGGCACCCAAGGAGGACTCACTGGGTAGGAACAATAACTTTGGGGGTCTCTAAGGAGCAAGCATCCATACTTTTGAGGCATGGCTTTTGATGCCATGCTGGAACCCCCAAATCACCAATGAGTGAAGATCACCCAGTTTTGCCTTGCACCTGAAGATGATTCATTGCCTCCATTTCTCCCCTGTGACTTAAAGCATCACCAACGTGTTCAAAGGAAAAGGTTGCTGCAATTTCCTTTAGGATTTTGGCATATGGGCCTTGCATGCCACACAACAGATGCATGTGGAAAACCAGCAGAATGGAAGGAATGAGGAGGCCTCCCATTTTCAAGGGTGGGAAAAGAGTCCCCCTGAATGGAATCCATTACAAGAGATGCACGTTCAGCCTGTAAAAGATTTCTGTAGTGAGAATGTGGCCTCCGGTCAGGTTTCTGCACAGAGTAGAGGCAGAAACCTAATCATATTTTGAAATGTTTTTTTCTTCCTATTTCAACAGTGTACTGAACAGAAAAATAGAAGTTTTGTGCTACCTGCCCAGGGGGCTTAAGAGCCGATACACCATAGGGAGGAAGATCACGAAGGGAAGAGATATATCAGGGTTGGATGGCAGGAGCATTTAATAGGAAAAAGAAGCAACAGTGGAAAAAATATGCTGGCTGAAAGAAGACCAGAAGATGGTCATTGGTAGGAGGAGTAGCTCAGACATTCAGGAGAAACTGGGCGAGGCCAGAGCAATGGTTGTGAGGAAAGATCTTTAGGTGGGGAGGGTCTCTGGCTCAACAAAAAAGCCCCTTTGCTTGCAGGAAGTGCCAGGGTTTGTCTCCTGTGGTTTCAAGAAGGGCTGGGAAAGACCATTGATGTGGACACCTATGGCAACATAGGCTCTATTAACCTAGATAGACCAAGGGCCCACCTGGAGAAGGCAGATTCCTAGTTTCTGCTTTCATTCAAAGGATTGTTGGAGTTGTAGTACCAGCACATCTGGAGACTGGTTGCATTTCTTCCTAAGTCAGTGCCTCAGAAGGAAGAAGAAGAGGGAGTTGATGATTGGTAGAGAAGCAAGAATTCTTAGTGCAAATCCCTGTGACCAGCCTCCTGATGGCTGGACAGCTATTGGAATTGTGGCCTTGTGGAAGACTAAGCCTTCTTTAAACTCATCTTTCTGCACGGCAGTCTTAACATTCATATTTTCTGAGGAAACCCTAGCAGCTAGCAATAAGGAGGAAAAGGAGCTACAAAACAGGTTGCTTTTCAGGAGGAACAACTCTGTAACAGTGAAGTTAAGCCTGTGGCTGTTGACTGAGACCCAACAGCTTCTGCTTTGGTTTTCACTTAGGTGGTGGAGGCAAGGAGGCCTCTCTCCCTCCTTGTTCCTCTCCCCATCCTGGTCTCTCTAGCAATCCAACCCAGACAACATGCTTTCTGACATTTCCTTCTGGATGCCTGGGAATCAGGGCTGCCTTTTCTCCCTGGGGGACCTTGTGCCTTGAAGGCAGCTGCACAAGAAGCTTCAAAGGACAAGAGAACCATGAGACAGGGGAGGCACAAGGCCTATCCTACTGAAGGCATCCAAGCCTTCTTTGATTTCAGCACCTGCCCTCGAGTCTACAAGGCCCGCTCAGGTAGACTGCAAGCATTAATGGTTTGCTCTTCTTCTTTTAAGATAAAGGGCAGCTTTTGCTTAAACCCTCTTAAGGAAGAATTGACTTCAGGCTCTTTCCCTTTTTGATCTGGGGCAGCAAGGGCCACATGAGTCTGTGATGAGGGTTTGGGGATTTGGCCGGAACATATAATTAAGGCTGGGGAAAGATAATGCATTTCTTGGGAGACAGGATGGGGACATAATAGGACAATCTCAATGTAAACCAGCATCCTTTGCTGCTTCATTGCAAAGGATTCTGGGATGGAATAAAAGAAATATGATGCATTTATACTTGATTCCAAATAAGATTCGAACCTAGCACGTTGCAAGGGAAACACTCACAATCGAGTATATGTGCAACGTATTTCTTTTCCACCTGCATAATTTGGTACATATCTTTTGGTTTGCATTCATCTATAAAGGATTCTGGGGTGCATTCGTTACTTGGGGTGCTATAATACAGAGCAAGTATCCAGATCATGGATTCTTCCTCATAGCCCACCCACCCACCCACCCCTTGAAAAGGCAGATTGCTGTATAGGTTTGAATTATTACTTTGAGGTCAACCTGTCATTCAGAAAGGTCTCAGCCTGGCCCAGTTGTGCAAAACCGTTTCTTCCCTGATACAAACAGAACCAGGGTTTTTGACCAAGATGAAGCTGCTGAGTTGCAAGCAAGGCAAGAGAATGTTTGCTTGTTAATGGGATTTATCTCCTGCCTTTTGCCTCCAGCAGACTGGAAGCAACTCAGAGGAAAGAAATAGTGCACGGCAGAGCAAAACAAGAGATCCAAAAATGTTGGCCTCCGCCAGGCTTTCTGACACCATGGAAAGCGTGAGAGAAGGGAACAGCTTCTCTCAAGGCTGAGGGACGCCTCCAGGTGACACGGGGAAAAAAGGGGGGGGCTCCTGATTTGGTCTCTCCCTCCCAAGGAGGTTTCTCTCCGATGACCACCCCCCTCCAAAGGGGCGATATGGCGATGCGTGTATGTTCAAAAAGAAGATGGCAGACTCAGAAAGATCTGATGCATGGCTGATGCTCTGTAGCTTCCATGTGGCTCAGTGGTGTGTGTCTCTGGCCAGCACCATGTCTGTGAATGGCCACCGGTTGGGGCAGAAGCGTTGCAGGAAACACGATGCCCGTTTGTGGAAGCCCATTTCCAATATAGAGAGCTTCCAGCCCAGGATCCAAGTTCCCAAATTAATCAGCTTTTAGAGGTTAATAACACTCATAGCGTTGGAAGGATCCAACCCCCTACACAGTGTGCGCATCCAAATCAAAGTGTCCTGGGCAGGTGGTTGTCCAGCCTCTGCTTCAACACATCCCACCACCATGGAGCCCATCTCTCTGAGTCATGGGTCCCACTGTCCAACTGCTCTTCCTGTTAGGACTGTTTTCCCTGACGTTCAACTAGAATCTGCCTTTCTGTCATTTAGGATTATTTTATTATTATTATTATTATTATTATATGTTCTGAATTCTGGGAAGATTGTCTGGGGTATAGGAGCAGGTCCACATTTCTCATATTCTTCTTGATGGCACACAGAATATCTGGTGTGGTTTGGGCATATGTCTGCACATGGTGTGTGCCCATATTCTCCACCACCAAATGAGAGGGAATAGACCTGGCAGCTTCTGATCACAGGGACGCTTTCTATGCCCGAAAAGGAGGGTGTGATTCCCAGCTGGAATCTTGACCCCAAGTTTCTGCCGTGACTCTCCTGGGTTGTTGACCCAGCCTTAAGCTTCATCAAACAAAGCAAAGGGAAACTGAAGGGTATTTAGAATGACATGTAGTCCCAACTTGTTTCATATGTGTCTGTGCAACAGTGTAAGCATTGGCTTCAATGGGACTGTGCGTTGGTTCTACACCTCCATAATCAAGAGGGGAGTTATGTTCACCAAATAGCTTATGTCACCCCTGGCACATGCCCCACTGTGTGTATTCACCTTCTGCAGTGCATGAGTTGGCATCTCTTCTAATGGACTTTGCATGCATGATGGAATGCGGTGTGAGGTGTATGTCATGCTTTTTCCTATGTTGTCGGTGTACTTACGATGTAACATGTTCCCAAGCTGGAACTGCATGTTCCTTCTATTCACATGCTGAGGATGATTCCAGCGCTTCTGCTTGCCTCGGCAACCTACTTGGGGTATCAGCCAAGATCCCTGGTGTTCTTTTTCTTTAGCTTATGTATTATGTTTATGTGCTCTACTGCTTTGTCAGAAGGAGGTCATCAACGCTACTTTGTCATGTATCTCTCCTGGAGTGACATGGTTCAGCTGAAGCCAGTGCCTGTCAGATATCCTGGGCTACAATTCCCCTAATCCTCATCTAGCACTATTGTAATCCAAGAGATCTGCAGGACATCACCTCAGGGGAGGTTGGCTTTCAGACTCTCTTCTGGGGAACCCTGGAGGAACTTCTTGAGAGCTTATCAAGGCATTCTTTAAAAAGACCAGTGATGGGGCCATTAGGGTTGTTCCTCTGAGAAATATTAGGTATAATTTAGGACACCACCTCAGGACCTACAAGGTAAGAGTAAGCCCCAACAGACCTGATGCTAGGACTCATCAAGAACCACAGTTCAGGTAGTTGTACTTCAAAACCAGGAAGTGTATGGGTGGTTGTTGAACTGGATAAGGTAGAAGCTAATGTGCTCATCCAAATGAGAGAGGTCAAGATCTGAGCAACAGCAGAGGATCAGAAGAGCTAGAAGCAAGCATGGGATGAAAATGGAGCAGGATGTCCTGCCCTAAAGGTCATTAATAGGACAAATGGACCATTAGTTGCAGCACCACGGAGAGCTCCAAGTGAACTTCCCTTTCCCCCAAGGTCTGGGATCAGGTAGAACTTCCAAGGACAAAGAGCGATGGTTTATAGGGATTGATGGACCCACGGTTGGCTCTTCTGAGTTACCTGAGACAGTGCCCAGGCAGATGGTTCTTGCAACCTAGATGAAACTCTTTGACCACGGAGTTTCATCTGACACATTTGCTGCAAGGCATTGGCAGTGAGCAAGAGCTCTGGCACCAGGGCTTGATTGCCAGGCTTCCAACTTTGAGTTACACATACAGTGGAGTCCTGACTTGGTTAGTGGCCCTGACTGATTGAGTTCCAGAATCCTTTGCAATACCCAAGGTCTCCAGGAGAGAAGTCTAGGGCTTCCCCAAGCTAGAACGCCTTTGCCATGAGCCAGTTCCTCGAGATGCTAAGCTGATCAGGCTCCATCAACAAAACCAATATGGTCGTAGCTGGTCCTCCTTTACTGGGGAGCAGCCCTTCGCTTTTTGCTCTTCTTTCTTTTGGCCCTCACCTGGTGCCCAGCAGAGCTATTGCAGCAGCACTGTCCCTCCCCCCCACTGTCCCCCCAACCCCACTTTTCTTTCTTTTTTAAAGATCAAAACTCACCCCCTCGCTTCAAGATGCGCTGCTGCTAGGATTAGCCCTGCTCGTTGCATGCTACCCGTCCTGCGGCTTCGAGAGCTGATTTATGGGACTCTTGCCAATTATCCTGAAAGCTCGAACGCAGGAAAGGAAACGGACTGTTTGCTTTGTGTTCCTTCTAAATGGCTTGCCTAAGAGGAGCATCAGCAACCCTGCTGGAAAAAAAAAAGGAGAACATTTAAATGTCCTTTTTAGCCATCCAGAGGAGGGAGGGATTAATAGCTGAAGGGTTACCAGTCAATCTGGTTCCTTTTGATGCGATTAGTTCCGCTTGTAGATTCAGATCGGCTGGGGTCTTGCATCAGCAAAACGGCGGGCAATGTAATGTCAGCTGGAAAGCATTAGAAAGGTTGAGGGCAGGAAGCAGAGGGCTGCAAATGACGAGGTGGGCCCCCGGAGGAATTCGGAGGCGAACTCTGAGTCACCCCGTCTTTCTTCCTAACGATCAGCTGCATCTCCCGGAATCAAATACTCACTGGGCCAGAGGATAACGTGCAGAATTCAGTACGGTGGTGGTACGATACTGATAATGCCAGCAGCAAGCGAGAGTACAGTACTAGTAGCAGCGCCTCATCTAGAGAGCTTCAGGGAGCCTCCAGGAAATACAGCCACTCGGTGCTAGATTTCCACTTTCCAATTCTTACACCAGGTTTCCTCCATCTGGTGCCTTGAGATGTCTTAGACCTCACCTCCCATAATCCTCAAGAGGGCCATGAATTATGGGAACTGAACCCCAATACCCCTGAAGGGGACCAGCTCGGGGGAAGCGCTATTGTCCTTACATTCGAAGGAGAATGGGGCTGATCCGTGGTGGACTGCTCTCATTAGCAGTGACTTCTCTTCTCCACCCTTTTTTGTTTTTTTCAAAGAAGCCATCTGAGAATCGGCTTGCTTAAGGCCCCACAGTAACCAAACCCAAATAGAATTATTATATTTTTTGAAAAGGCATGAGTCTAAGACAATGGGATCCTGGGCTTCCAAACATGGCAAGCGGAAGGCCTTTGCAAGAGAAACCTTCCCGTCACCTCCAAGAATTCTGCACCTTCATGGACAGAGGAGCATCACGCCGCTCCCACCTGAGTGGGCCTTTGGGGGCCCCCGACTACAAAACCCACCACCCACAGAGCCGCTGACTGCATGCCCGTTGGTCAGAACTCGCATGGTCTGCGTGCCAGCATGGCTTGCACTGGGAAAGGCCGGGGGCTGCGTGAGGCTGATTAGTCTCCATTGGTGTTTTTCTGCAGAAGCTCAGCGACGGCCGTACTACGCCGATTATTCGCCTGCTCGGAAATACATCCATTCCCTCTGCACCAGCCACTATCTGGACCTTTTCATCACGTTCATCATTGGAGTCAACGTCATCACTATGTCGATGGAGCACTTCGACCAACCCAAGGTACAGGCGGCGTCTCTTGCCTCTCCGTAGCCTCCGTGGGGCTCACGGTCGGGACTGGTGCCCAAGCTGGCCATTCGGAGGCAAGCTAGGGTGAACCGCTCTGGGCTGGGGGCAGACAGGGCTGAATGCCTCGAGTTCGGTTGGCAGCATCTTCAGAAGGCAACAGGGTATTCATGGATTGATCCGGGTGGGACTTCCATGACAAGGGGCAGGGGAACTGAGCATTCGCCCAGATCCTGATAGGTCCCATTACATGCTTCCATCTGCTAACTGCTATTGGAGACACCATACATTAATTCATTAAGCGACGCTACAGAGATGCCAGGAAAAGTGTGGCTTGATGATGAAGAGCAAACTTTTCCAGCAGCGGGAAAACTTTCACCAGCCTTTTTGGCTCACAGGATCTGCCAGACAGACAGAGAGATGAGTTTGTCCTCGCTCTGGCCAATCTGCGGGGCTGCATCCTGATGGGCCTGGGCCTGGGAGGTTGAGGTCACAGATGGTCTCCGCTACATGGCATCTTCTCCCACTGATTCTGTCTTAGGGTCCAAACCTTGTAGCTTTCCTCATCCTTGGGCAGGTTAGATCACAGAACCCCCTGTCCAGTTCCAAAAGCACATCTCTAGAAACCCCTCCCAAGACTGTTGCCTGAGTAGTCTGTACTTTCATTTATGTGCTGCTTTGAGGCTTGGAAAAGTGCTTCCTAAATCCTTGAACAGATTCAGACAGATGCATCTCACCTTCAGTGTTGTGGTCTAAACTAGGCTACACAAGTTCTGGACGGAAGATCTTTTGCTGGATTCACACAACACTCCAGACCTGGGTTAAGAAGGTTCCCTCCCCTGAATTTGGATAATATACTAGACCCCAGACTAACCAGATGGCCTGACTTTACACAACACAAAACACATACCCAAAAAATCCTTAACCCAGGTTACAACCGACCCAGCTTAGCACATGGTCCACACATTGCTACATTTTTATGGACCTGGTTTAGCAGGTTATGCAAACACCCCTTTGAAGCCTGCAATAGTGGGCCATGGGAAGGCTGTGCTTGATTACACCTTTCAGGTGTGTCTTGGGGACTCTTGGCTGGGAATCTTGGGAAGTGTAGTCCTAACACATCTCTGGAGGTGGCCGGGCTGCAGTCCATGGAAGAGCTGCTCTGCTGGCAACAACTGAGTCTTCTGCATGACCTTCGATGGGCCCCCGCAGCCTGTCTCACGGCTCGGCTGAGGCAAGACCGTAACAGGCAACCCCCCCCCCCCTTTGATTCCTTGCAGTCTCTGGACGAGGCCCTGAAATACTGCAACTACATGTTCACTACTGTCTTTGTGGTTGAAGCCGTCTTGAAGCTGGTGGCCTTCGGCTTCCGGAGGTTCTTCAAGGACAGGTCGGAGATGTTCCTTTGTGCTTGTTCTGGTTATTGCAGGGCGGGGAGGGTGTCGCAGCATTGCAGGCTGCTGGATTAGTTGTTGTGCACAATAAATACAACGATGATGATGACGATGACGATGACGATGTGCCATCAGATTGTGGTCAACTCTTAGTGACCACATAGACACATTTTTTCCATGATGATCTGTCCCCAACCTGGTCCTTCTGCTCTTCCAACAGTGGCCTCATCACCACTGTAACTGAGTCTATCCACAAATTGTCATGTTTACAATGATCGGCCAGGAGAATGATTAAATGCACATCTGGAGAATCATCGTGCAACCTTTTTTTTCTTCTTCTAGTAATCTCTAAACATAAAAGTAATTAAATAAAATTTAGTTTTTGGCCTGGTCCCACCCATTGCTTGGGGGAAATAGGATCAAGGGCATCACCAAAAGGAAAAGGATAGCCTTTAGCCAGAAAAAGTTGCACACGTCCTGCACACAGATGAAGCAGCATGGGCATTGTAGTTGTGGCTGAGTGGGGTCTTGAGTTTCCAGCTTCTCAGCAGGCCCAGCGCAAGACAGTGCGGGCCAGGCCAGGAGGAACGGCAGGCCCCAGAGTCAATGTTTGCTCAAAAACTGTCTGAAAACAAGAGTTTCAGTTGCGCACGCACGCACGCACACCCACACACACACACAATGATTGAGGAAGCTCCTGAGCATTTGCAGAGCCTGGTGGGAAAGGAAGCGTCTTCGCTGGTCAACTGACAAGCAAACATGGTGCACGAGATGATGCCTCCTAGAGGTGGTGAATACCTGGACGTGGGGCCTTTCCTGCAGCGGCCCCACTTCCCAATGGCTCAGGCTGTTCCTTCCTGCTGCCCTTGTTGAATTTTAGGCAGCTGGTTGCCTATTTGTCCCAGCTCTTAATGAGGACTCGTTTCCAGGGGCTCTGTAATCAGGGGAGAGGGAAAGAGCCTCCACGCAGCAGAACGAACCCTACTTAGCCCGGCCTCCATCTTCCTCACCTTCCTTCGGCTTTCTCCCGTACATTTTCAATCCATCACCCACTCAACTCAACCCGAGGCTGCGACCGACTTTTGGACCGCGCCCTGCGGGCACCCCTGCTCCATTCCCTCTTCCTGCTGCTGCCCCCTTAGGTGGAACCAGCTGGATCTGGCCATTGTCCTGCTGTCGATCATGGGGATTACTCTCGAGGAGATTGAAATGAATGCTGCGCTGCCCATCAACCCCACCATTATTCGCATCATGAGGGTGCTCAGGATTGCTAGAGGTGAGAAGAGGGGCTTCTCTGGGTGAGGGTCTTTCTGAGCAGACCACGGGGTCGTGGCACCGTTCCCCCTGCCCTCCTATGCATATCTACCTGGTGTGGAATTCGTGCCCCCGAGCTTTTGGCTTCATGGCCACCCCCTTCTGGGCCTTATTCCAAAGACTTTCTGCATGCAGCCCCTTCAGATTTTGGCCAGACACATTTACCCCTGCCCATCCCAGACACTTGAAGGTACGCTGGCCCTGAACATGGAGGTTCCATTGTTCACAGACTCCACTTTCCTTTGCTTTCCAGTGCTGAAGCTGCTGAAAATGGCCACGGGGATGCGGGCATTGCTGGACACGGTGGTTCAAGCCCTCCCCCAGGTAAACCTGGAAAGTTGCTTACGCAGAGCAACGTAGCTTTGGAGCGTTCTTCTGGGAATCTGGGTTTTTATTTCTAGGAGGGGAAAAGAACGGGGTTCTGTAAAATCCATTTTTTAAAAAAAGAAACCTTGTTTCTTGAAGAATAAGGATGTTCTGAATTGGAGGGCTCAGATTCCAAGAAAGTATCAAACTTCGGATGTTCCTTGTGCTTCACTAAAGTCCGAGGAAGTTAATGCAGGAATCAGCAAACAGTGATACCCCGCAGCCACTTCAGGCCTAGCGGGAGCCTGACGAACATGCAAACCGCCTCCGTGGATGTCTAATGCCTGTGCCAATGTTAATTTTCCTCTCTCTTTCAAGCATCAAGTAGGGATTTCTCTCTCATCCTTTTTCAAACTTCTGGGAAGCGTCTTTCTGATATCCCAAACATAAACCATTGGGGCTATTATCCACAGCCAATTTTCCCCAGTACAGACTCCTCCTCCTCCTCCTCTTCCTCTTCTTCTTTTCCTCCTCCTCCTCCTCCTATGACCTGATATATTTCCAACTCCCATGCTTCAGGCTTTACAAAAAAGTTAATTTTTGTTTCACCCCCAAGAGAAAAAAAAATTACATGCCCACAGGGATATTTTCAAGGATCATTTCCCAACCTGCCGTGAGGACAATATTTCCAGCAGCAAAAAGTGTTATTTTCTTGTTTTTCTTTTTGTTTTTGAACACAGCGCTTGAGATAATGAGTTGATGAGTTTGAGTCCCCAACCCCTAAAGCCTTTCCAAAGCAGGCTTCTTTTACTGCACCCACATCCATAAAAGACAGACCAAGGTCGCCCCCCATTTTTGTCCCTGGGACGCCACAGGACAGATGTTCTTGTGGCATGAAATACGGGATCCCCTTTCCACCCTGTTCCACGCCTCTGGAGCAGAGGGGAGCCATCATGGAAAAGTCTCCCTGAGGCTCTAAACGTCTGCAGCGGGGGACGATGCAAAGCTCACAGCCAGAGAAATGCTTTTCAGAAGATGCTCTCAGACACACCTTCGCAAATCTCAGCCAGGCAAGGCCTCACACACGCAAATGCCATTAGCGGAGAGGGCAGGAAGAGGATCTGGATTTTACATCATCAGAAAAAGAGGTCTGGGGGAAAGGGGACTCAACTTAAGCCTGGACCGAAAGCTGGAATGGTCAAATTGAGAATGACATTGGAAGGAGCGCCTGGGAACAAAAACAGGCAAGAGAAACTCTGCCCTCTTTCTGGAATATATTTGCAGGCTGCCTACGTGCAGCGCTCGAAGAAGAGCATATGTGGGACAGGGATGTGCAAATTTGCTGAGTCTCTCTTCCCCCTCCAAAAAAAGATAAACATTCAATGGCTCAGTAAATCAGAATTCTACCATCTCTGAGCCTCCCCCCCTCCACCAATTCTCACCCAACTAATCACCCCTCTTTCCCTTTTTTGGACAAAGCCTCCCTCCGCATCTGGCCTGCCCCGTAGCCCCGTGCTGGGGAAGAGCAGCCTAGGATCTCCTGGGAAATGAGATTTTCCCAAAGGTTAACTGCTCAGGCACTAGCCTGGGAAAATCAGCATTTCTGCGAGGCTGCTTACAGGATCAGCTGCAAAGCTTCCGCGTAAATTTACTGCAAGCATTTTCACGTATGCTGAAAACCCAGCTGGAGACCAGCATCCTCCTCTTGGCCTGCCTCCTGCACCCAAGCAGCCAGGGGGCAAGCTGGCATCGCATCACCTTCTCTCCCCTAAGCACTTGTGGCAGGGTGGCAGATCTGAGGGACCCTCGACAAGCAGTTCTCGGAGGGCTTCTGACATGAATGTAGGCTTTCCCACAAGGTGGGCTCACCCATCCCCAGCCTGAAAGCAAGTGAATCTATGCACAGGGCGTTGTTTTCCCGTCCTAGGAGTCTGAAGTCTTTTTGTACAAATGCAACAGGGGCCCCACTGCACCCCAGGCAGATTCCCCTGGAATTTGGCATCTGAGTTCTCTCTCTTAGCAGAGACACCGCTGTGTCCTGAAGTGCCTTGTGCCCTTGTTAAACCCTCACATTGTCACGCTGTCCTTGCATCAAGTGGTGGAAGGTTTCCAGCAGGAGAAGGGCCATGCCTGCTTCCACTCAGCGGTCTGCGGGGCACCGAGTAAGAGCCGACCAATACTTATGACAGGATAATGCCCACTGGCCAGGGGATACCAGGTTGTGGTCGGGAAGAGCCATCTGGGATGGGGGGGAGTGAGGGGCAGGGCACAGGGTGGGGGCACAGGGGAACAGCCAGTCCCACGTTGCACCCTGCAGGGAACGCTGCATTAGGAAGAACCCATGGAAGGGGTCCCCCCCCCCCACC